TATGTATTTTTTTGGTGCGTTGTAGCCAACGTGAATACGCCAGTTTCGGATTCATAGCGAAAAACCGCTGCTTTCATTTGACGACAGATTCTCTTGCGCTAAGAGCTGACCAAACACAAAGAGAGTAACATAGCACACTTTCTCCACACTGTCATACAGTGTGCACTACTGATACCAAACAAAGGCGTTCTCTGATAACATTGCCTTTCAAAATTTAAATCATTCAGTTAGAAGGGCTACCAGCAGGCGTCGGGCTTTAGTTTTACCCTATTTTGCCAAGCTATCTATGTATTTATCGCGTTTGAGAATGACACAGGAAGCCCAAGGAGAAAAAGGTGATTGCTATAGCTTCTGAACTTTTTACGTCACTACTTGATTTCAATGCATTGTGGGATCAGTTTCTAGAGCAAACAAAAGAAATCCGCCATGTTCTGTCCCACACATATCCTACAATGCATTGCGTATACAGTACGTGACCTAAAAGCTTTAGAAGTCTATAACCAAGCATAAATTGCAAAATATAAAAGCAGAGCCGGCGAGAAGTTAGACCGAAAACATAGAGTCTATGGACTTACATTAATAACGATGAGACATATTTGCTTGAAAGTTTATTTGTTTACAAAGTTTGCAAATAATATKTAAATATACTGTAAGTTTAATTAAAAGAAAAAATGTTCTTGTACAAAGTTTGTATATTTTATAGTACATTCTGTAAATATCTTAACTTGAGACCTTTTGACATTCCCCATTGCAGAACAGAGAGACTCAAAAAAGTCGTTTACAATCAGTCACGTAATGCAACGCTATACTTTGTATATATTTTATAGTTTTTATATTACCCTTCTATTATTTACTCAAATTTTATTCATTCCTTTGGCTGCAAGAACGATCTATCTATCTTGTAAACTGATTAGTTTGCTGCATCAAGCATTGAAAGTATATAATCTTGTAAAATCAATTTACAAAGCTTCTAAAAGAACGTTATGTCTGTAAATTACATTTACGGACTCTGCAGATTGATTAGCTTTTCCAGCGATTTGTGCTGCAGATATTTAAATTGAATGCAGGAAATGGCGAAAAAGTCTAGTGAATAATGCAGCCCGAATAAACACTTAAGAGTGTCTACTGTTCAAAAAAAAAAGTTATGTTTTTTCCAATATTTTTCACTTTTTATGAATATTCCATTCTAAAGACCCTAAAGTCTGTCTATGAATTTCTTGGCTTTTTTATCTGCGACTACACGACTGCAATCAGCCGTTTGGATTTTGTAAACCAAATTAAGCTCTACAATTGCTCAACAACCTATAAATATTCGCCATTGAAAAAATATAATATAGAAGAAATCAATTTTCAAATTTCTCAAGAGAACAGAGTTATAAACAATAGGTAAAACAACTCTTCAATTTATTTACGTTTTGGATGAGTAAGTATATTTTCGGTATTACATGGCATTACAAACTAACTTCTCCGGGTAATTACTAGTGATTAAATGCCCCCTCAGCCTCGGGAGGCCGATAAGTAAAAGTCCACTCAGTACCGCCTCGGGACGCCACTAAACCTCCCTCGGCATGGGGACATAGTAATATCCCTCAGAACCATGGTATTACTTATAATTGAAGTACCCAAGAAGAAGAAATAAAAAAAGATTAGAAAATCATATGTGACAGATTTTGTATAAGTACATGAGCCTAATCCGCGAGTAAACTCTCGAAAAACCGGACTATAAACGAGTTACAATCCACTTATATCTTGTTGTGACTATGTAGAAAGAAACGGAAACATTGGAGGAACTTTTTTTTACTAAATTTTTTAACGCAGTCTATTTCTGACCGCTGATATATTCAGTCATTATATCGGGTGCATCAAGTGTCTGATTTTCTCTTCCATTTTTTTGCTTTTAAAATCAATCATTAAAATTATCAGTATTTTTGGTAATTCAAGAATATTGTTGGTAAATTAAAGGGATACCTTTGAAATGTCAGCTCTCCTTTTTATATTGRCATACAGAGGATATTACATGGTGTTGAAAAGACGAGTGGGCGTCGCGAAAATATCAACTTTATGCAATGGGGAAAATATAGTTATTTTATTTTATAGAGAATATTATATGATTAAGGTATATACTAAAATTAACCGGCCAGGATTTCATTAATAATCGATATATTTTTTTTTTTTTTCAACGAATCATTCAACAATATTACTATCCCAAACCTTTGTCAATTGTTTTCAAATATTTTCCAAGTGTAATAATATTTCATAAATTTGTCAAAGTAATTGTATATGAATTTCGATTATATGGGTTTTTCAAGATCTTATTTAGCATTTGTGTATTGTTTTTCGAATAAAATATAAAGTTTTGATGACACGTTTCTCAGCAGGTGAAGCTATTGTCATTAGGTYCCATTCCCCTACAATGAATTGACCGAGTGTTTATAAACATAGAAAATGATGTGTCCAAACAAACATTGACTTAGCGATGAAACGCGTGATCATAACTCTATCCAGTCAAGACAGAACACTAGCGATGAAGGAGCTAAACAATGGTGAACTACAAATTACTGGYGAACAAGACCGACGAGCCGTCAGCCCGACCAAGAACGACAATCATTYGACCAAAGAACAGACCACAGAAGRGGAAATAATAGCAGAAAACTCATTCAATACGTGGAAATCGACTGTACAAAATGATGACAAATTCTGTGACATCTGTAGTGGTATTGTAAATACCAGTAATAAGGAATTAGAAGCGAAAAATCTTGAAGTCGAAAAGCTCAAAACAAAGCTCGAAGAGGAGTTATKTGAAAGGSTAAAAGTCGAAGATGAATTCGCAGCGGAGAAGGAGCATCTTGAAARAGAAATCTCAAATATGCGAGAAAGAATAGAAGAACTGGAGGTCGACGCGTCGTGGAAGATCGAAGACTTAGAAAATAATTTCAAACTCCTCACTACAAAATACGAGAACGCTAAAGACGAAATCACACATTTGAAGGTTATGTTAGARAGAACGGTATCTGAAAATGTCAAACTCCGAAATAATCAGAGTATTACAGACGATCGAGTGATTGAGATTCTGGATGAATTAGAGCTATGCAAGAGAAAAGCACAAGAAAATGCTGAGAAAGGCGACACATCAATTAGTAATTTACAAGAAGAAATAGCAATGAATGAAAAAGAAATTCTAGAACTGAAAGAAACATTGAAAGAAACACGCAAAATGAATGAAACGAGGAGAAATCTCAACCAAGAGATTAGCTGTGATTGTCGTGARCCTGATGATAGTGAGAGTGACCCTTTACTTGATACAATTAAAAGTGAAAATCTAACCATTTCAAACGAAAAACAACTGTTAGAATTATCCACTGAATTAAATGAACTATACCGCGATCATGTTGATTATCAAGACAAGTTTTTCGCTCTTAATCAGGGCTTTATCGCCAAAGAAAGAGAGCTAGATGACGTGCGGAGTGATTTCGAAAGTCAAAACATTGAGGTACAGAATTGTAAAGAAAAATATGCAGAGCTTAAAGACGTCGTCTTGGCAACAACCCAAGAAAACACTCATCTTAAAAATCGCCTCGATAAAAAGATCGAAGAATATAAAGATTTGAAGAAAAACCATCTTGTTTTAGAGACTGAAGTTACATGGCTTAGAGAGGCTTTAGGTTTGATAGAAAACAGCTGATTCTATACKATGGACGCGCAGCGACAGGCTCTTCATATATGACTTGTGCTAAACTCGCGATCACTCTCGCGTTAAATATTAATTAATGCTTTAATATTTTCATTTCAAAGCTGGGTTGAATGAAAATACCTCGGAAACAGAGTTAAGAAAGTGCTTATAATTTCTTGTATATAAAAAAAATAAATAAAAAATAGAGGCTGATTAAACTTAGAGGTTCGTGTTATAAAAGAGTGTTTCTATAGAAAAGGTGTCTGTTTAATACGGAATCACTGACCATATCATTTAATTAAAGTGTCCCTAGAAGAGACTCAATATCACCGATAAGAATTAATTGATATGCAATAAGCTGCAAATKGTAACAGAAAAAATCAAATATCTTTTTTGGAAATATTAGTGGCTACAGTGAACTTATGTCGAAGAATCTGTCCTGAAAGAAAAATAATTTGAAAACATCAAGGGTTTAGCTAGAAGGACTTTCTAAAAGTCTATATACCTGCAGTGGCTATTGATAAAACCAGACAATGAGTTCTAACAAACAAAAACATACTTCAAGCATATGAATAAGAAGTGATGGGATATGGTCAATATGTAAATGAGAAATGAAATATCGAAATAAATAATTAAATAGCAAATGAGAATACCTGTTAACTTTTTAATAATAATTGTCGTTCGGCTTTATATTTGTTCACCGTGAGAACGCCGACGAAGTGTGAACACTTTTTTTTAATACAGCTTTTTTAGCTTGCATATTCTTAATCGATTTGTTATTTTGGAATCTGATACATTATCACTCAGGTCATTTAAGCTCATGAAACCCTCTAAAAWTTATTTTCAGTTGCCATCGAAAGCTTAGTTTTGACGAGTTTTATCTGAGTAATCATTTATTTAGAAACGAATTGAAATACGAGTCTTTACGGTTCATGCGTCCTCRCTAAAACGTCCTTCTAGCAGTTACACGTCAAATCTCACATGCGTCGAGTTCATTACGAAAGCAAGGATATTGATAATGGATTAGATATTTTGAATAGATACGACAACTCATTAAAAYKGGCGAATTTTGAACCTTTGAGGTTAAATACAAAAYATGAAGTTACTCGGTAAATTGGAAAATTCTGTCGCGTATTCGAATCATTTMAACGACTTGACTCCTTTGCATCCGTTTTCGTGTCGGGCTTCCTGTTCCTCCCCTGACTACAAATGACGTTTCTTACCTTTAAGAGGCTTGAACGTGGTCAGCAAAGCACTAATTATCTGATTATTCAGTGACAATTAGCATCTCCAGGTAGAGGGGGGCGGTAGGGTTGTGTCAGGGAGGGGTAGGGTTGTCTCTTTTTAAAAGCCGAAATAAAGCATTGTATGTATGTATATTAGCAATCATGACAGTTAACATAATGTGGGAAACGATA